GGGGGGTCTCTTTTTCTGAGAGGCGTAGGTAGGATCTATGCAGACTAGTTCGAAAAAAATAGTCTAAAGAATTCGAATGAAATCATCGTTTCGGTTTGTTGCATCGTTGGGTTTTGGGTTTTTTTCGAAGATGTAAAGTGCGCGACTTCAGGGACGTTTAGCTCAGTTGCTCATGAATTAATGTTAATGTCATGGAAAGAAAATGCAAGAGAAACTTCATTTTACTCTCTCCTCTCTCTCTCTCTCTCTCTCTCTCTCTCTCTCTCTCTCTCTCTCTCTCTCTCTCTCTCTCTCTCTCTCTCTCTCTCTCTCTCTCTCAACCAAGTAAACTTCGGTTATATTGAATTACACCCTGTGTCTCTTCCGGCTGCACGTGGCACAAGAGGCCTTTCAAAAGCGCTGACTAAAAACTAGTTTTACATTCGGTGCCTTTTACATTTCTTTGGTGGGTGGGAGGACGATAATGGTTTGGGTTTTGTTTGTTTTACTCTGTTTTGTTCTGTTTGATTTTCTTTGTTTCTTTTACCTGCCGCAACTCCGCACTCCAAATTCTGGTGTTCGAGGAACAGCCTCAGAGATTCGAACTTGGCACCGCAGACTTCACATTTCATGGCCTTGGCCGGGTCTGGCGTGTCGCTGATGACGTCATGATGTACACGGGGACCCGGCGTGACATTGGTGGCAGGGCTCACAGCTTTGGGAACATTCTCCTCTCGGGCTCCTGCCCCTGTCTTAGCGTCAGCGCCACCTGCTGGTGAGAAAGCCAGTCTTGTGAAAGTGTGCTAACGAGTCGTTTTGTTTTTTTTGTTTTTTTTCTCGATGAAGGTGTTTTACTCCCCGCTGATACATTTTAAATCCTTTATGAGGCGGACTTCGACCATGCCTGTCAAGGCCAACCTGGGCTGAAACGGATATAATAACATCTCGGCAGAAAGGCCAAGATACTCGGTAAAGATTCTCCTAACTCAGGAAGTGAATTCGACTGTCCCGCGTGCAACAACGACACGCCAAATCGCTACCCCACAAACGGGGGCTCTCGTGGTCGAGAGGTTACAGTGTTTGCCTCTCATTCAATAAAACCCGGGTTCAAATCAGATAGCGACCTTTCCTTTCACCTCCTTTCCTGCTCTCTAACAATATTCTGTCGTCTGTTTTCGTCTCCACTTTCTGTTTAAATGTTTAATGTGTCCCGCGTGCTCCCTTATGCAGTTGCGACTGCCGTAAAACACTTACCACCCCCCCCCCCCAAAAAAAAAACACACAGCAACAACAACACATAAACAACAACAGGACGCCGGTGCTAGCTAAACAAAACAGACGAGTAAAGTTAGGCACGCATGGACATGAATACAATGAGGACTGGTATAGATTGGTTTACTAATAGGTGTAGAAGTTTTACGCCCCCATCGACACTGCTTAGATCATTTAAGAGGCAGGCTGCTCCGGCCCCGCTTGTCAAGGCCGACTCGGGCTGGGAAAGATACAACATTTCAGAAGAAAAACGAATATTTCATATCATGTGCTAAGAAGAAACTATCCCTTTAAAAAATGTTTTAATCACTTATGTGACTGGTTAGTCAATACTCTCAAAAATCGAGGGAACTGAACAGAATTAGAGCTGAGACTTAAAACGGTACTTTAAACGAAGAAATGCAAGCAGCTGCAATCCGAACACAAACACAAAAAGATTGTCTTGTCTGGAAACATACACACTGTATGTCCCATAAGAGGTTGAGACAGAACGTGGCACGCTTTGTTCAACGCAATAGTTACATGAGGAGCCTCAAAATTAAATTAAGGTCTAACCTCGGTTTGACGAGAGACGGAGATTCCTTTAAAATTTAATAGAAAACAAAACAAAACAAAACAAAACAAAACAAAACAAAAGAAAAGAAAAAAAGATAAAAGTAAAGAAAAAAAATCAATTCTCAAAATCATGTAAATCAATAAACGCCTTCCCTGGGATTTGAAACAGGGCCCTCCATGTCGAAATAAAGTGTCTTACATATTGTACAACCTGAGCTCTGATTCTTCAAGGGATATGCTGAATTAACAAACAATTTACCTTGAAGTGAATATAAGCCCGTGTGTGTTGTCGAAGCGTTTAAATAAATAAAACATTTCCCAAGAGCAAGTACTCCATGAACTTAGTGCAGAAGAGGGGCGTGAGAGTACATACCTGTGAACGTAATGGAAATGTGCACCAAAACATGCTATTGGCGTATTGGCAAGGAACTCTCTCTCTCTCTCTCTCTCTCTCTCTCTCTCTCTCTC